GAGTTCTTTTTGCTTTATTTTGCTCACTATTTTTCTCTTTCTATAGGCATGTTCATATTTCACATCCAATGCTTTGCCATTGAAGATTCCTTTCATCAATGCTAATCCAATGGGCAAAAACATCAGCATTATTTTTAAGGTACAAGTAGCCCTTCTAAAACAACAAATTGATTCCATGGACAGAACTATTGATTTATTACCCACAAAAAGAAATTATTGTTTTCGTTTGGCAGCAACACAGAGATTTTCCAGTTATTTCAGATTCTGCTTTTTTGCAGAATTGGAGTCCATGCCAAGCTATGATTGGCAATAAATCAAACATTACTGGCTAAAATCCAGGGAACCGTCAGTGTAAAACTTAAGAGAATATGTTTCATAAATAAAATTATATGATCACTTTTAAATAGCACAGAAAGTAGAATGTGTGGTGAGCCCCTAGGAGGAGAGTGTTCTTTTGGTCTGGATACTGAATTAGGATAAAATTAACTGGAATTCAAACGACATAAATTAATCTAACATCAAATTCTAACCTACAAGAACTTGCTTATTTTAGTAATTGACTTACTTTTTTCTTTTAAGTAAAAAGTATGAGCCATTTCTGTCTTCATCATGAATCCCCTGGAAAAAAATAGGGTAAAAGGCAGTAGCAGGGTTCTAGACAGGTAGGAAAGAGAGACCAAAGAGGGAGCTACAAGTAAAAAGTGAGAATTCACCAATTATCCAGTTAATTGACTCGATTCTCCAGCCAAACCACGCAAGGTCTCAGAGTGAATTTTTGGTGGATTCTACCTATTTTGGAGGATGATTACTGCACCTGTACTTTTGCTTTGAGCTGTGTAACCTCAAGGATTAGTGGTCCCCTGACACTGTATTTTTGATGAAGGAAAAAAAAAACAAAAAAAAATCTCACCTTGGTAGGATTTTCTGTGCATCATTTAGAAAGTATTTTCAAAACCAACTGCTTATTTGTTTAAAAGCATAGAACTATCTTCACCCTTTGGACATATTCCATTTCCTTCACCTATGCTAGAAAAATCACCCCTTTATTGTTCTATTTCTATTATTATCAAAAATTGTTTTCTCTGACAATTTTCTAGCTGCCTTCATAATAAGAGAAATCACTGATTTAAAGTCTGACGAATCGTATGTATGCGATTTGTACTCCTAGTCAAGAAGTTCTTGATATTCTAACTGCATATCAGTGCATAAATTTATGGCATACCAAATAATGTTTCACTCAGAGAGAGGGTGAGTTTGAAATTTAGATAAACATTCGTCCAGCCTCTCTTCACTAGACTTTGAATGTAAGAAATTGCACATGGATAACAAACTGAAAATTATTATCAAGGAACAACATTCCGAGCAGTGCTTCTAATTTGATGGTGGAAGCTTCTGTAATCATTTAAAGGGAAGTTCTCATTGCTTTGATTTTCTATCAGAAACACAAGGTACACTTAGTGCTAATAAAACAATCGAAACCACTCTAAGTCAGGCTAGAAATGTGTCCAAGAAAAGAAATGACATATACCATATTTGAATGTTTTTAATGAAATTCAAGGTGAAACCCAGAGTCTATCATTTTGTTTTTAACAGGCCGGAGATGATCTTCGGCAGGATATGCTTGTTCTGCAGATTATTCAAGTGATGGACAACATTTGGCTGCAGGAGGGCTTGGATATGCAAATGATCATTTATAGATGTCTCTCCACAGGAAAAGACCAAGGTCAGTATAGATTAGAAAGTGGGTTGGCTTACATTATTTATCTCACTCATTCACTGGCAATTTGCCACAAAACTTTCTACGGTTTTCATTTCAGACTATAAATTTAAAAATCCAAAGAATTATAAACATTCATATTTTTAAAAAATAAAAATTTTCAAAAATTGTAAGCCAACATAATTTATATAAAACATTATATGCTTGTTGATATTAATTAGGACTTTCACAATCAAAATGTTAACTGTGATGTTCTTTAGTGTGTCTTAAAGAGTTAGTCACATTAAAAACTTAGTCATATTTTTTTCTCATTTTCTAAGCTAATAATAGAAAAGTCTACTCATTTAAAAAAAAAGTACAATTGTTACCTATTAACACAAAATTTACACATTGTCAAGTGCTTAAAGGTGTTCTGGAAATTCTAAACACATTATAAAATCTTCATTTAACTTCTAAAAGGCTTTTGAATAGGTATAATATCAACAAAGATGGCCAAACATGTAAATAGTCAACATGTCAGCATTTCTTTTCCTTTATAAAAGCCAAGAAATTAATATGGAAATATAATTATACTTATATACATTTTCAATTAAAATAATATTGAAGTCCCCCAAATTATTACTAAAACATCAGAGATAAAAGTTGTACTTAATTACAATAAAGCTAAATTGAAGAAACAATAATTCCTAAGACAATGTCTTTTTTATGTCTGGTCATTGCCACTTACAATTCTGTGAAGCTAATTGGTATGAATTACAGCAGATACACGTACATAAACAAAGGGATGAAATCACAGAACTCAAAAAGAGACCTAGATCATGTAGTCAATTTTTTTTTTTTTTAATTCAAGCAGAGCTACAGTTTAAACCTATTATCACAAAAGAACTGTCGCTGCCTGTTATCTCAGTTCCTGAGGTCCTACCAGCAGGCTTAATACACTAATGTGACTTCTGATTTTAGACGCCAAGCATGCAAGCTCCTCCTGTTAGCCTGCAACTTGATACCTCAGAATGGCTACACTGCAAGTTATACCACCCACTTATTTTGATTCTGATAATAGTGCTGCTTCCATGCCAAATATCCCAACTCAAACAGTTTCTAAACCTATAGTTCCTAAAAGTCTTTTATTATCTCTACCATGAGATTGTTATTTCTTACATTTTACTTTCCCTTTTCTCACGTAAGTGACCTAATTTTTTCGTATCCTAACATGCCGAAAAGGCAAGAGTAAAGCTAACTGATCCGAGCTGAGCTTTTGATGTTACATGGATCACCTTTTCTTCAGAAATTGAATAAATCACTGACTCCAATGGAATTATTTAATTCCATCTAGTCATGTCTGTCTATAATCATTAAATGTAACTGCAACTAAGTCTTTTAAAGTTGATAAAATGGTTCAGCAAAAATGACTATATACTTGCTCCAAGTTGCACATGTCATAAGACAAAGAAGTTATTTTTCCCCTCTGTCTACCCTCAACCTCTATAGTTACAGGTTTTCAGAGGGCATTATATTGACAAAATACTTCTTCAAGAAAAATAGAGATCATTAAAACAAATGTCATTTTTAGAAGATTAGGTTGCATTTTTAATCAGGTTCCAAGGCTTATTGAATACCTACTGTTCTCAAGAAATGTCACAGAGTGAGATGGGGAATGCATACTAAAATGAACTCAGTAGAGCTGCTGTCCTTGAGGAAAGTTTACTCCAGTCATGAAGTTTACATGACTGGATCCACATGATTGTTGATTGTCATTCTCATGCCTACTTTGTTTGTGATGTCTTAGGAGTTCTAGGAGAAATTATCAGGGCAAATAAAAGTTCTTTAGGATGTATTTTATCAGTGGTTCTCCAACTTTGACGGCATAAAAATTATTTAGGGAAATCAGGGCAGTAGATACAGCCAACCCCAACCCACATGTACTAAATCAGACTCCCCACTGGAGGAGGAAGGGCTCGAGTAACGGTGATTGTAAAAAGCTGCTTTGGTATTTCTTATGTACCCCTGTCTGAAAGCCGCTGCCTTCCAGGACACCACCTTGAAACAGTTTATCCCTAAGAGCCTTGCTATTTAAAGTGTGAACTACACACCTGCAACATTGACATCACCTGAGAGCTTGTTAGAAATGCAGAATCTCAGGCCCCACCCCAACCCTACTAAATCAGAACCTCCAGTTTAACCAGATCTCCAAATGATGTTTATGTGCCTTGGAATTTGAGAAACACTGCATTAAAAGACTGTAAGTATGTCACCACACTTATTACTCAATGGGCACAGAATTATGTTACAAGTATTTAAAAGGTGTATGATATACACCAGCTTAAAGTGTATGAAATGTAATTTATGATTTTAACTAATCAGCAGAATTTAGCCACCATGATTGTTATATTAATAAATTAGGTACAAGGTTTTCTGGGTAGTTCAACACTGCAAGGCTTGTGACCAGTGTCTTGGCATTTAGCAAAGATTAACTCCCTGAAGACAAATGTAGTCTGAAAAGTAACTAACATTGCTGCAGCACGGTATCTTAAAAAGTGCCATAATCTAAGTCCTAATTTAGGGCATGGTCCGAGGTGAGGTGGCACTGAAAGACCCAGGAACCAGATAGAAGGTTATTTTCCCTTAGGAAATATTAAATAGAGGAACTGGAAAAAATGAAGAGGGAAATTTCAGGATTAGAAAGAAGAATCACCTATTGACACTAAATGTAATGTTTTAGATCTGCCATCTTGCTTAATGCATATGAGAAAATCTGAGCAAGAGATGAATGTTTTGGGGGGAGGAGAAAAAAATGTCATGGTGTTAAGGATATTCCCAGGACTTGTCTCTGGGGTGTTAAGTTTCTTTCGGGTCTAGAAATGTAGATGCCCAATGACCACAACTGGACTATTGGATATTAAGAGAGATTAAGACTTCAAACCAGCTGCCACTGGCCAAGCTCAGCACAGAGAAGTGTTTTGTTTACCATCACCACGATCTGCTTGCTTGTTGTTGTTTAATTTGAATGCTTTTAAGGTAAACCATGAAATAGTCAATTTATAAAACTCAACCATCTCTCTATTCATATGTTTATGTTACTCTATATTTTTTGTCTCTGGTCCCTATGTTCGTTTGGGTTTGTAACTTGCAATTGTTGAGATTGTGAAAATCAGAAACTCTAGACTTTAATTTCTTTTAATGATTGCATTTACAGTACTGTACATTACAGGTTGTTTTGTGGATATTAGTCCTGAGAGAGTTTAAGTACTGGATTTAAATTGCTGCTCTGTATAGAATAAAAATCAAAAGATTTAAAAATATTTACATTCCAATAACCTTAGGACACAATGAAAAAAGCCTTGATGAATACATGGCCAGTGGACAAAGATCCTATTTAAATTCAATCAATATATGCTCCTTTTAAAAAATTGACATTATGGTTTCTCTTTGGAGTTCACTGAGAGGGAAGGAGCAGGTGGCTTTCTGCATGTTTACTTGCAGAGCTATTTTGTTCACTCCCAGAAATGTAACATTTAACTGTGAAGCTTTTGTTAACCTGAACATCAGTTTTTGTAATATGTATGAAATGTTTGTTATGAAGATTGCATTTGGCTCACTTAACTCATAAATCTGTTATCCAAGCTTGAATGTCCTCCCTTAAACTGTAAATGAGTGTACCAGCCTTATGACAATTAATCTACCACTCCACTGACCCAGTGGAGAGACCATCCAAATCGGCTCTCTCTATCTTAGTTCAAGAAAAAACGTTAATGCTGCTTCTGATAGGTCTGATTTAAACACAACAAGTAGCCTCATTTCTCCCCAGGATTTAGGAAGAATTAGAAGAAAGCCATCTAGATAGGCCTCCTTCAGAAAAGAAAGTTTGGAAAGGAAAGGGGTAATTCAAGACGTTCTGACAACTATTATTGTCGTTACCTATGACAAGATATATTTTCTAAGGATCCCTCATCCTGTAAACAAATAATTGTTTCCATAATCTTTTTTTTTTCTTTCCATCAACCAGGATTGGTGCAGATGGTACCTGACGCAGTAACCCTAGCCAAGATCCATCGCCACTCTGGACTGATAGGACCTCTAAAAGAAAATACAATCAAAAAGTGGTTCAGTAAGCACAACCACTTAAAGGCAGATTATGAAAAGGTTTGTTGTGCTGGAGATCATTTTAGATAATGTACTTAAATAAGAATATGCTCTGGTTCATTAGGTATTCTGATTTATGGAAAAGTAAATTAAGTACACCTTGAGTTCTAATTCACTCAGTCATCAGCCTAGTAATAATGACCCAGTGTAAATGGTGTATTAACTAGATAAAAGTTTCTGAGTTTGGTTTTTCTTCTGGGTGAAATCTCGGGCAGTCAATAAGACTTTCTTTGCTTCGCTGTCTCCCTCATAGCAATCAAACTCCAAAAAAGACGCCCTTTGAAACTACCACCTTCAAGTAACCTCCACCTATTTGTGCACAATCTCCAGTTTCTATAAATATCCCTTCTTCCTTTGAGATACATGTCTTCTGACATACTCTATTTTTCATCTCCGATTTTCTTAATGGTTTGCAGAATGCAAAATAAGTTTATATACACACATATATATAGAAAAATTTTACAAAATGTACTGTTTATTTGACGGCAAATATTTTTTTCTCCCAGTTAACTTCATTCTGGCATCTGGCCAGAGTTATGCAGGTTCTGCTATATACCAGGGCTCTTGGCTAAGGGGATGAGGGTGGCTAGAGCCAGGCCTTGTTCCATTTACCAAGCCATAAACTGGAACAGCTGGATCCACCCAGCGGCAGGGTCACCTGTGTGCTAATTTACACAAAAGTGCAATACGGGCTAACATTAGATTTGGTTGGAGCTGTCCCAAGCACTGAAATTCCCTTATTTTGAGAAGCTTCTCAGTCCTGGGCAAACTGGGATGATCAGTCACCCTGGCTAGCATGGGCTGTGATAGATAAAGAGACCGTTCATCTCTGCTATACTTCTATAAGATTGGAGTGGAGCAAAATACAAGCTTTTAGAGGCCAAATAATAAAGAATTAAATCAGATTATCTTGAAATATGCTTTTTAGCCATTCTCAAAATTATGACTTGAGTTTTGCAGAAATTCCTGTGGTTATATTTTCTTAATGTTTCCATATACATTTGCTCTTTACAACTGTCATGTGAAGAACATATTTTATTATCTTCACTTTATACATGAAGAAAATCTAGACAGACAAATTAAGTGACTTGGCCAGGATCTTGGGAGACCTGGAAGTAAAGTATCCTGGCATGTACTCCAGTGACACAGCCTCCCACTCCAGCAAGGCAGCCCACCATGCTAGGAGAAGCATAACCTTGGCCCAATCAATTGCTCATGGTTATACTACCACGTTGATGAAAATGATGTGTACCTAGGAGATCATTTTGGAAACAATGAATATTTTTGGAAAGAATGCTCTATTCATTAGAGAAACATAAGCCACAAGTGACTCAGTAGTAATCTGCTTCTGCCTACATAGGCATGCACTGATACATATACTATACCAAAACATTTTGGACATCAACTGGATGACCTGTTTGTAAAGCTAAACATAAAATGTTACATATTTCTCAGTATAGCTTTTTCTGTGTTCCAAAGTTTCAAATATTAAAAAATTGATATTTTAAATTCCTCTGGGAATAGGCAATATTGGGCCCTATTGTTCTTTCTCCTTTTACTTTGAAAAAAATTCTTTAATATTGTATATTTGGAGCAACAAAAAAGTCACGCTAGGAAACCTGTCTAGTAAACCATAAAAATGAGCTCCCATCTTAATGAAAAATATATTTTCCCCAATTTCAATAAAAAAATATTCATCTGTTAGGCTAAAGAACAGATTGTTTAATGTTCTTCTGCAGCATATCAAGAATCGGCCACTTATCTATTCCCTTCTCTCCACCGAGATGTAAAAATTGTTCTTGATTATGTAACTTTGCTTTTTATTAATATCATTTACTCTTTACCATTACCTGTGATGCTAATACATTTGTTCATTTTTTTGTTGTTGTTATTTTTGTATTACTGTTTTAGGCCCTGAGGAACTTTTTCTATTCCTGTGCTGGCTGGTGTGTGGTAACATTCATCCTGGGAGTCTGTGACCGTCACAATGATAATATCATGCTGACAAAGTCAGGCCACATGTTTCATATTGACTTTGGAAAATTCTTAGGTCATGCACAAACATTTGGAGGGATAAAAAGGTCAGTGCACAAATGTTTATTACAGTAATTAAGCAATGCCCTAACCAATATGCAATGACTTGCTCCCATCTCTCAAATCCCCCTAAGTAATATAAGCATGATTATATATCTAGTAAGATTGAAGGAAAGACTTTTTTCGATAGATTTTTAATGAACAAATTGTGTCCTCAAATTGTTAGTGGACTAAATTGGCCTTCCTCCATGGGATACTAATCCTGTTCCAGTCTGAATTGTTTGAAATAATATTTTTGTTTTCTTACAAGCCTTGAATGAATAATGATGCATGAGTTGATGGTCTCAATACATCTGGTATATTGTTCAAAGCACATCACCACACTGTTCTTCATATCATAAAACTAGCACACTTCCCACACGGAATTAGCCTTAAATCATTCCACACACATTTAGTGGGCACCTACCATTCAAGAATACAACAGTAAACACGGAAGACACAAACCCTGATCTCTTCCTAGTGGAGATGATAGATAAGTTAAGCAAAAAAATAATATGGCCAAATGAGAAATTCTTAAGAAGCTAAAACAGAGAAATGGGATAGAAAGTGACTGGGGTGGAGACATTATTTTAAAGAGGCCTCTTGGAAGAGATGACAGACAGCTGTGTAATTGATGACCACCTCATGGAGATACATAGAGGAGTATTCCAGGAAGAGAGAACAGCAAATATAACAGCCGTGAGCATGGAATAAGAGTGGCTTATTCCAGAACAACAAAAAGGCCTGGGGTCTGGAAGTAGGACAGTGAGAAGCAGGCAATAGAAGGTAAGGATGATGAGTTTGGTGGAGGCCAGACAAAGTATGACATGTAGGACCTGGTATGGAGTGTGGCTTTTACTTTAAGTTCAGGGGGAAACCATTGATGGATTTCAGTGGATTTCAAATCTCTCTCTTGATATCCTGAAGTAAAGCTTAGTGAAGAGACTACTGCAATAAGGAAGGTGAGATTTTAATGGTAAAGGTAGAGGCGGTAAAACCTGACAGATTCAAAATATATTATGAAGACAGAGCCACACAACCTGCTAATTTTGGGGACGCTGATGTGATTAATGAATTGGGGGAGGGGCAAGGCAGATCGGAGAAGAAAATAAAACATTCGAGGATGACCTCTAAATTTTTTATCTTGGCAAATGGGTGACTATATTATTTACTGAAATAGGAAAGACTGGTGAATGAATAGGTTTTGTTTCATTTTATTTGAGCTGGAGGCAAGGAAATCAGAGATTGGAGACTACTTCATATTAGAGTAGATCAGAACATTCCAAAGACTAATTAGCCACTTTTGCCTCAAAGCAGCCTCTCAGTGGAAGAAATACTAATGTCTTCTACAAGATAATGTGATAGAACTTATACCAGATGGCCACAATCTGGTATTAAAATGCCAACATAAATTGCATAATATGGCTTCATTCTCATAAGCTGATTCCTCCTATTTTGTAGAGGCATATAAATGGATTGATTCACTTTTTATTACTTTCAATACATTGCCTTCTTTAATGAATAACCTCAGAAAAATCTACCACATATTCATTCATTCCTTAAACATCCACTGAGTATGGTCTGTGTGCCTAGGACTGTGATAAACATTGGGAATGCAAAGGTGAATAATACACATTTACCACCTCAGCGGGGTTTGCTATCTTTAGTACTGGGAATATAGACACGTAAATGATCACTATGAAATATGATAAAGGCAGAGATACAGAGATGTACAGAGCATTAGAGCATCATAGAGGAGGGATACTTAGCTTATGAACGACAACTGTTAATTAACATACTTGTGTGTATATATAATTTACTCATGTAACATTTTTTCCCCTGAATCCACCCTTTCATAGAAAATTAAAGATTAAGTTAGTTTTGGCATCCTTTTTTTTTTTGATTTATTGTCCACTGGGAATTTGGGTATCCTTTATTCATTTATTCCACCAGCATCTGTGCTGTCCATTGGGGTGGTTAAAAAATGAACAAAAATATTCCAGTTCTACAGAAAAAGTTCCACTTGTGAGACATAAAAAGTAAAGAAAAAGTTACTAAAATAGTATGGTAAGTGTATGGACCAAGGTCTATAGAGAAGATGGAGCACAGTTGGTTTGTTGATGTTATAACAGCTACTGCTACTTCTACAGTTTGGCAATTTTAAATATTTCTTATGCAGCCTCGTAGGTAAATTAAAAATGTACCCAGTATACAGCCTCACTCATAATAGGTTCTTAATATTGTTTGTCGAATTAATCGGCCAATAAACTAATCACAGGCAGGCCTTCAATGATTCAATAGTTATTGATTAGATGAACGAAAATGAAGTTGCCACTGTCTTCCCTTGACATTATTAGCTATTGACCACCAGCCAAAGAGGCCAATAGGAGCTCCATGATCAATTTGGATTATTGTTTCCAGGATTTTATCTCTACCAGTGGCTCCCTTAAGACTCATTGGCAGTGTCTCCTTGGATTTCTTTCTTGCTACTGGTACTTCTGCCCTGAGTTGGTTTAATGGCAAAGCTGAACTATTCCTATTCACCATATCTTTTGAATTGTAGGCAGCATCTGGTATTTTTCCTCCAAGTCTCTTTCAGCTGTTTCTAGAGTTCACTGAATATTGTTTCATAGGATAGTTGACTTCTTCCATCCTAGGTCCAGTGATTGTCCTTATTGGTTGCTAGGCACACAAAGGATCTCTTATTAATAGAAATAAGGCCTCTGCATCCCCATAGGGTAAATGAACATTCTTATTTATACTCCATTTATTACATCATAAAATTTCTGGAAAACCTAGCTGCACCTAGCTTCTATATGCATACTCAGATGTATTAAAAAGCCCCCCATAATATACAAAGCCAGGTATGTAAATTATGCCCAAGGACTATCCTAATGTCTCACAGTCTAAAAAGACCACATAATACTCGAATAACAGCCAATAATAACCCCAGGTCATACTCTCTAACATAAAATTCTGCACCCACTTGGAGTACCAAGTTTATGTGTTCCAGGTACACGTGTTTCTCTCTACTCCTTAACAACATGGAGATGGGAGGGAATTTGTATAACTTTTTGTGGTTAACAAAATATTATTAACATATGTTGACTAATTTCACTTCATCATACAATTGCCTAAATCATTATTAAACCTCACATAAAAAGTACATTTTCCAGTTGCGGGTAGATAACATAAAACCCCTTCTAAGTTGCAGATTTACACTTTAGCCAAGGATGCAGAACTTACTAATGAAAATCAATAGGCCCATAGAGCAGAAGTAGATGCAGTATATATTGGAGTAGATTTTCCCTTAGTCCTTGGTATCTTTAAGGACACAGCAAAGAGGTGACATTCTCCTTACAGATAGAATCTTGAAAAAGAAACTGATTTCTCCCTGGGCACTGCCCTTTTATGCTTATGCTTACATCACCATTCCAGAACATATCACACTCACTATGAGTATGATTCTGTTTAAGAAATGTTATGAACATTGAGCTCTCCTGATTCTTGGATTAAATTGAAACAGCAAGGCCACATTCTCATTTGGAGTCCACGCCCAAGTGTCGCTGAACGATTCTTCTGAATTCAGTTCTCCAGAAATCCAGAGAGCTCATCTCCCTGCTTACACCAACTCTGAGCCTCTCGTAAACTTTCTAACTTCTAAGAGAAAAAAAATAGACCATCATGGATATGACGAATTTCAC